ATGCAGACTAATAAAAGCAATTGTATTATACTATGTACCGTGTTAGAATATAGTTATCCTCAAAGGGATTTTATTGTTGTTCTATTTTTTCCAGACCCAAAGATTTCATGTGAAAAGTTTTGTTATTCCTAGGCTGTTATTCCATATTCCTACTTGAAAGAAAAATCATAGAATCATAGAATCATTAAGGTTGGAAAAGACCTCCAAGATCATCGAGTCCAACCGTTAACCCAACACCACCATGTGCACTAAACCATGTCCCTAAGCGCCTCATCTACACGTCTTTTAAATACTTCCAGGGATGGCGACTCTACCACTTCCCTGGGCAGCCTGTTCCAAGGCCTGACCACTCTTTCAGTAAAGAAGTTTTTCCTAGTGTCCAGCCTAAACCTCCCTTGGCGCAACTTGAGGCCATTTCCTCTCGTCCTATCGCTTGTTACTTGGGAGAAGAGACCAACCCCCACCTCGCTACAACCTCCTTTCAGGTAGTTGTAGAGCGCGATGAGGTCTCCCCTCAGCCTCCTCTTCTCCAGGCTAAACAGCCCCAGTTCCCTCAGCCGCTCCTCATCAGACTTGTGCTCCAGGCCCTTCACCAGCTTCGTTGCCCTTCTAAAAAGGAGCTTTAAAAACTACTTCAGGTGTTCAAGAAGATTTTTCTTCTTGCCTCTCTGACTGCCAATTCCAGATATTTGTTCTTCAGAGGTTTTCATTATTCTCCACCATGCCAATTTCTTCTTAGGTGAAACAGGACTTAACTTGTTTTGCCAAATTTAGCCAGAACGTGGACTTGAAAATGTTGATGTTCAATGCTTTTACTTTCTTGTACAAATATGTGAATATTCAAGCCTTATATACAGTATACACAGGGGCTCTAACTTGAGAAACATGTGCTTTTCCATTCTTAAAGTTCTTTATCATCTCTGATTACTTTTCATTTTAATGATTTCATTTAGTAATTATTTATTAACATTTTTCAAATGTAAACTTTCTCTCTTCTGCCAAGTTGGTTTTTATAATTCCAAGAGATCATAAACCCTTACCTAGCTGCATAAATGTATGTATCGATCCCTTTAACAATAATGCTGTGATCACTGAAAGCATAAAATATTACTTGTTTGACTCTTCAGATGTGTAGTATGTAAATTTAATGTATCTATCTGTGTTTAATGTAGCATATTCATGTCTACAATGTCTTAATAATCATGTATCCAAATGGATCTGTTAAAAAAAGGTACGTGGGCAGGGTTGGATTCCCATTTTTTGTAATCCTGCGTAACTCTCTGTTTCTGAAGACCAACAAACTTATCAGTAAGTTCAACAGGAGTTGTCTCCGGCTCTAACTCTGGTATCCTGGTCCTGCTCCAAACAGGCATTACGCCAGGACGTGGAGCAGACTGCAGTGGTGATGCTGATGGACGATCACCCCCTGTCCCTTGACAAGAGCTATATATCCAACTTCTATTATTGCACCACTCGGTAGCACTAATATAGTTAAACTTGGGATTTTGCTGGATCCTACCACAGATGTGGCAAATTTATTGACTTTCCTTTCCAGTGACTTTATCAGTTCCTTTTTCTCTGCACCTCAGAGTCCAGACCAGTATTTCCTTTGGACATCCCATCTGTAGGCTTTCTTCATGTTTTTTTCAGCAATATGCAGGTAGCATGCATCAGCTTCTCTGTAGATGCAAGCACCACCGATCTCTTTGGGGGTCTGAACAAGATTTTCACCGTTCAGAAATCCAGCTGAATTTTCCATCACTGTAATAGGTTTTAGTATTCAGAGAATTAGTTTCTTTTCCAGGATGCTCTACAAATGGTACTCGTGCATCCTTTCAGTGCTCATGTGATGTATGAAACCATTTCATTCTCAATTTAACACATTGGGAAACTGAAGCAATTTATTCAAGAGGACAGAGAAAGCAAACCTGGTCCTGGTTAAAAGCTGTCCATGCCTTCAGTAGTCTTTCCATTGACCTTAGTGGGGTTTGGATTAGTGCCTGCAAGATATGGAATTAGATTTCAAGTATTATTGACTCAATCCTCTTTAATATACCTCAGCACAGTCACCTTCTGGAGGCACGGAGTCCCAGTGCATTTAGAAGGAGCTTTCGGGAGTGTTGGCCCTCAGCACTCCGCTCGTGCTGTTGAAGATTGATTCCAGTTGTAAAAGAAACTGATGACAAAGCCATGTACTTATTTAACACAGGCAAAGTTACTTACAAAGTCACATTTCCTTGAATGTGGCAGGAATTAATGGAAATAATTTTCTTCCACTTAAATCACAAACCTACTTTGATTGGCGTGCAACATAAAAGCTCTTCCTCTTAGTTCCCTTGTGAGGCCATGTTAGCAGTGTTTGTGGACATGAGTTTCCTTGTTGCCATCTCCCTTAGATTTGTTTTTCTCTATATCTTCACCAGTGCCAAAGGAACATTCACAAAACTGTACCTTATTGAAACCTGCCATCTTTCCTTTGAGTGAAAGCATGTGTCTGTAGTTTGGGCAGAGTTTGCTGTTCTTTCAGTTCGCTACTCTTGTAGAGAGACTGAAACATAGCTAGTAGTTGTCTTAAAGAGAGAACAGCAAAGGTTAAATATAACTTATGGTAGCAGTCACCAGATGACGATGTTTTTCCTTGGCTGTCACATAGGACCTGAAAGATGCATACAGGACAGACAGGGAGAACGTGGCCTTCGGTTCATCTTCTTGTACGTTTCCACCTGCTCCACCCTTGCCTAGAATGCTGTGGGTCTACTATGGATATTGGATTTAATGTGAAATTTCCTTTCTGGCTAGGACTGTAGCTGATGCTCCATTTATCCAGAGGGGTGGACAAGATACCTCCCTTAGCATCTTTCCAGTCCCAGTTTTCCCTGATCCTAGGAGAAGATTGGTGTGACACCGTGCGTTGAGTGCTATTGTGGTGCTCTGCTTTGCGTGCCGCGGAGCTCTGCGGGCCGCTTGACCAGCGAGTAGTAATGATGGGCTTCCACCCACAGCAGGAGAGTGCTGCATGGATGGCCTGCTGTGGCTGTCAGAAGTCTGACTTTTAAAAATGAGATCAAGCAAATTAGCATAGCCTGAGGACTTCTTTGAATTGTATGTTGCCCTTTCACCTCTGACTTTATCTCGCGGCGTTCACTAGCCATGAATATTTAATACGGCCACCACTGCATCCCATGGAATAAATGACAGGCTCCGAGTTTCAAAGCTTAATCTGAAAAGCAATGCATATACATTGATATTGAAAAAAAAAATCACACCCAGAGCAAATCCTTTTTCGTAAGCCCACTTATTAAAAGAAAGTAATGTAATATCATGCGTTTTCATTAATACTAGTCTTCAATAAGCCTAAAGCAAATCCTTGCTTGCTGTGTGCTTGCTACGCTCGTTGTACAGAACTGCCTGAAAGTGATGAAGGCTCACAGTCAACGCGCGGAGAGCAGGGAGCGTGCGGCCGAGACAGATACGAACTTTGTTAGAATAGAGGTTCTCAATCCTCAGTTGTCTTTCCCGGAGAAGATGATTATGGATGTTTCACAGGAATCATAATGCTAATTTGCAGCCCCCACAAAGGGCTTTTGCAGCTCCCACAAAGTGCTTTATACCTGCAAAGTGCTATAAAAATGTGAGCTAATCCTCACCAGTAAGTGAGTGTTATTGTACCTGTTTTGCAGATGCAGAAATTAAGATACAGAAAGGTCAGCGGGCTGACCCAGGGTCACATAGCTTCTCAGCAGCAGATTTAGGATGAAGAAACTGGCCTCTCTGGTCACATTCCATTGATCATGCTGCCTTGTAGCAAATGTAGCTCAACTTTCCTAAATATATATATATAAAAAAAAAAAATCCTAGAGGAGTTGCTTCCCTCTTTGCTTCTTCAAAACAAACAAGCTCCCGAGCTACCAAACCCCGCATTTACGTGTATCATTAAATACTTACCAGTTACTAGCCAGAAAACTCAGCAGAAAATCCGTAGAACACCAAAGTAACTCTCTTCTTTTAAATAATTGATGATGCCAAATAGCAGCAGTGTTATGCCAACAAAGACATCAGTCTCTTAAAATATTTTATTCATTATGCCTCAAGAAACCCAAAGCCTTGTTTCTAACGAAAGCAAATTTCAGAAGTTGGCTCTCAGTTCATATGAAACATCTGCTTATTACAATTCTTGGTGTTACAGCACTGGTGCTCCCCGGTAAATCTTTCAGCTTTAAATAATATGTATGGAAGTCTTGGCAAAGAGATCAGGAAGGATTTGCCAAATATGCATTTTACTTTATGGGGCTGTAGTGGTATATTTTAATAATACATGCATTGAAGAGAATCTACTAATCCGATTAAATAACAGGACAAGAAGGAATTAATTCCAAGGTTCAAAAAGACCTCATTCTATGCAGCTGAAACTTTATATTCCAGGGTAAAATGGTTAGAAGTCTTGGCTAACTACACTTCTATAAAACAGCCAGGAATGGATCTTTCTGTGTAGTGTTCGTAAATCAAGGTCACTTATGTGAGAAGGCTATGTTGTAATAAATCTGTCTGACAATTAGATGGAGAGGGCATATCGATGTTAAATTATATTCTTTGTACACTCTGGTCAGAAGACAATGTAAACACCACAGTAGCATTATGAAACAGAAAATTGCATTCCAGATAATAACAGATACTCATGGTGGATGGTTTTACACTTTAATGTGCTGTGTTTTACTCAGTCATATTAATATTTTAAATTATGTAACCTTCCCTTCTTCATGCATGGTTTATTTTTTCACTGAAAATGCACCTCCCTCTCCCTCTCCCTTTCCTTCTCCCTCTCCCTCTCTCCTCCCTATTGCTCTGCCTTTTCCCTTTTCTATTTTTCCTTTTCCCTTCTCCTTTTTTTAACAGTGATGCTTGGGAAAAAAAAAAGCCTAAAGCGAAACTGTCTGTGCAAGAAAATAGTAACAAGTGGTTTCAAGATTTATAAGCCAGGGTTTTATGTTATATATTTACAGATTCAATCTGTGTACCAGGCTTTGATCCAAGCCTTAGCATGATGACTGGAATCACTCCGATTAACCCAATGATACCAGGCATGGGGTTAGTGCCGCCACCACCACCAACAGATGTGCCTGTAGTCAAAGAAATAATTCACTGCAAAAGCTGCACACTATTCCCTCCAAACCCAAGTAAGTGGATCTGATGAAATAATGTTATTTTCCTAAATATATTGCATGAAAAATTTTTTATCTAATAAAAATTATGGTTTTTAAATAGAGCGTAGGCAAGTATGGTGTTTCTTTCTAAGGTCTACTCTGTGTGTAAAGCATGGTATGGTATCAGAGCATACTTAGTCACCTCTGTAACGTCATGTAAAAAAACCTACTCAGTTTGTACAAAAAAGAAAAATAGTTACTTAAACGAAGCTAACAGAGCCTGAAGATCTACGCTTCTCGTAGCAGAAATCTGGCTTTCCTTTGGATCAGAATGTCACAAAATATAATGATTATATGGTGCTGATTATCTCCGTGCTTCCCTTCAGGTGCCCACAGTTAGATGGGACCAATCTGGGCTCGTGTCCCTGAACATAGCACCTAGCACCCAAATGCTGACTAGCTCTGGTCCCCACCTGGGGGAGATAGAGGGAAAGGGGGACTACGGCTCCTCTCTTGCCATTTTTGGGGGGCAGCATGCGGATGAGCTGTTTCTCCTCGTTGAGAGCTGGGACCAGGCTTCCTTCTGCACCTTCTGGGACTTTGTGGAAATGGAAAACTCTTCCCACTGAGTCACCAGCTCAGGCACAAAACCCGATTTTGTGTATGTTAGCCCCAGGAGTTCAGGTTCAGAGCCATTAGACGAGCAGCTTTCACTATCACTATGTGAAGACAAAAGAGAAAATTAAGCAGATAGTCTGGTGCTCTGGATTTGCGGTGTACCCAGATCACGGTTTAATCAAACTGGCTGGGTGTGTGAATATGCATATATATGTATATTTTAAGGTTGTAACCCCGTTTACTGTGTTAAAGGCCGAAAAGCTAAGTCGTATGAATCAGATTCCTTCTTAGAGAATTACTTTTAGAGGAGTGCTCTAGTAATCTACATATAAACAAGGTGAAGTGTTATGACAGAGTATACTTTTTAAACAGCGTTCAAAACTTTAATAGTTTTCATGATTTAAGTGTGTATATATTCTGTCTCTATATATATATACATAAAAATAATACTTCTAGCCACTCCACTTCATGAGCACTTGTAAACAGCGAGGTTATCCTTCCCGTGTGCTGACTTCTGCTCCGTTATCTGGCAACAAGACAAAACAGATAACTGGTAGAGCATTTTCATCATGCTGTCACTTCGTTGTGTTTCCCACTTTGTTTTTCTCTTTGCTGTGCTCTTGTACTCTGAGACAGAAATGAAATTATGCTAAGACCAGGGAAAGGTGTCCGTCCGGCCCGAGCGCCCGGGGTGTATGCAGCATGGGCTGGCTTGCAGAGGGCCCACACACTTGGCAAGTGTGGCGAGCGACGGGTATGAGCCAGAGATGGTAAAGTTCAGGTTTTGAATGTACTGCACCAGCACTTGAGATCTGTGCTTGGGGTCAGTTGCAGAAGCTCCCCTGCTTTGAAACAGAATATTTTCTATTTTTTGTGTGACTGTGCAGGGAAAAGAAAGATCCTTTTAGACCTTATCATCTGTCCTGGAGAACAACCCGCGGTGGCAGGAATTAATCTCTGAAATGCCACCTAAAACTTGAAAAGGTTTAGATTCAAGTAATCAATTTTGCACAATCTCTGCAATATTCAATTATTTTGCTTCTCCCTCTCTCCCGCCTCCATGCTATGTCAAATAACTGTTGCTGCCCGGAACTGGTCAGGGAATGAATAGAGCCAATGGATCAAAAGACAAATTTTGTATTCCAATGTGATTTCTGTTTTGACTTAGATCTTCCACCACCTTCAACAAGAGAGAGACCTCCTGGGTGTAAAACAGTGTTTGTTGGAGGATTACCAGAAAACGCAACGGAGGAAATTATTCAGGAAGTCTTTGAGCAGTGTGGAGATATAACAGCAATCCGGAAAAGCAAGAAGAATTTTTGTCACATTCGTTTTGCAGAGGAGTTCATGGTCGATAAAGCCATTTACCTTTCTGGTACTTCACATTCTTTAATGGATTTTCCTTGCTTCTCATTTGTATTTTGTGATGCTAATGTTTGCTTATTTTCTTAGCTTTTATCTCAGCAAGTCTTTCTTGAGCTCAGTGGCTGTAGCTTGGAGTGGCAAGGGGCAATTCTGTATTTCTCCGTGTCTGCCAAGACTTGTGCATGGTTTTGTATGTTGCTTACCCGGGAGCAATTTTCTGCCACCCCACAACAATGCAACAGATCCTGAAATTCACTACAGGACAATCTTATTTTTGATTTACACAGGTTTATATAGTTTTGCTCACAGGTTGTGGAAAGAGGAGGGCACTAGGCCAGGAAGGCTGCTGTTTTCCAGTGCCAATTTCTCTGATAGGCTGGCAATTTCATTGGCATATTTTTATAGATTTGCAGTGCAGTCTGAATAAAGTCTGCCTTTATGTGTGCATGTATTCAGCTACCTCATGGGTTAGATTCTGAGCCCCATCTGTAGGCTACGTCTGTTGCCTCCCAGGACAACGAGTGCCACAGAAACTCAGGTGTAAAATTTCAGAATCTCTTTTATTTTCCAACAAAGGAACAGACAAAACAAACCTCTAACTCATAAGGAAAAAAGAAAAAAAGAAAGAAGAAAAAAGATGAAAAACAATTCTGCTTTCACATATCAGGCTTCAGTGACTGTCAGTGCCCTCTTAAGGTTACAGGCTCCTTCATATGAGGATTGCCTTCCCAGCTGAGCCCTTCTTCACCTTTCTGAGCTGGATCCCATCCCCTGTATATATATTTGTCTCCACAGGCTGGTTCATCTCTCTTTCTGGGTTCTGGGGAGACCCACAAGCATTATTTTGCCCCACAAGTGTAGTGTAACACTTTCACCCCACATGCAAAGTATTCTAAAATAAGCAAGGGCCAGGGAGTGCTCCTTGGCCAAGATGAGCTGACACAGACTGGCTTACAGCCACCCACCCTGTGTAGGGTGGCCTCAAAGGGACCCACTGGGACCATTCAAAATGGAGCCTGGGAGGCAGCTGACGACTGGTGATACCTTGTTTGAGCTCCCACCCTGATCATCTTCTGTTTAGCAGTAGGGTCATAACCTCAATGTCCTGTAGGTGTCCATAGGAAGCTCACACAGCTAGGAAACAAGTGGTCTCTCAAATCACCACCAACTACATCTTAAAATGAAAGAAAGAAAGAAGAGAAAACATCTGAACTTTTGAAATAATGTGGTCAGGAAAAACCTAGCTCCTTTGCTTTACAAAGGTTTTTGTGTTGGGTTTGTGGGGTTTTTTTTTCTAACTTGGCTGCTTGCTTTACATATCTGTTTGAAGAGCTACAGAAAATTGTGAGTTTTATGAGGTCTATATAAAGATTTCTTTGAAATATTGCTGTATTTTCAGGTTTCTTCCAGATCTTCATTCCACCCTGGTTTTTTCTTCCTTTTTTTTTTTTTTATTTTCACTTCATTTCTTCTTCCCTCCTCATCCTCTCTTCCCAGTTTCCATCCTTATTGTTTATTTGTTTATTTGTTTATTCACTTATTACTTCCATAACGCTGTAGTTCATGGGGACAAATTACAGGCATCACAGTAGTAAAAAACAGTAGCACATTTCCCAGCTTCCAACTTCTGTCTAGGGGGCCCCATCTCCACAAGTAAGGGAGCAGAGGAGGGGCACACCAGGTTCAGTAGGAGCTGGTATTACTGTATGTGATAAACAAAACAGTGGCAAGAAAGAGAGCAAAGAAAAGCTCAGAAACCTACAGGCTGCCACCCTGGGCTAGAGCCAATGTCCCTCTAGCTCAGTTTCTTACTTCTTGGCAGTTGACTGCACCCTTTGCTTCACTCCAAGTCAAGTTTTATTTTAATTTTATATGCCTTAAATCCTGAAGGACCAGATTTGATGATTAGAAGTAGGAAATTCCCTGTGCTGCCCTGCGTCCTCGTTCATAATGCACTAGAGCGCGCATTCAGAATAAGGGAAACGAGCAGAGACGGAAGTGGCAGATTCCCTTCCTCATCCTTCCTCATCCTGATTTTCTGCCAGTTTATTTCAAGTTCCTTATCCATCCTTCCTTCTTCTGTTTCCTTTCATCACAGTCGCACTGCTGTCTACGCTTCCTCTTACCGTCTGCTCTGCAGCCTCCCTCCCCATCTGTCTTTTCCTCCACACCTTTTCTTTCCTCTGAAGTGTCGCACTTAGTGTCTCTGACCAGATCACGGAAAGAAGCAGTGGAGCTGCTAGGGAGGAGGAAGAGCAGCAGGGGCACGCTGCAGCCAAGTTTCACTTCTTTTTACCACCAGCACTGAACTTTGCAGATGAAACAGGGAGCACTGACTGTCCCCCACCACCGCAGAGCAGGGAGGTCTGGCACTAGGCAGGGGCATGTTTTATTTGTACTGAAATACTGGGGGTTTTTAACCAGTCTTTATTCCATTCTCAAACATAATGTATTCTGAAATGGTGGGGATAAAGCATATTGTTAAGGCGTTTTCTTTTCTCTGTAAGAGACAAAAGAGACGTACAAATGGTATTTGTGGTTAATATAGCATGCGTGTTATATTAGGGAAAAGTCATGCCTTTGGTATCTGTAATATAATGGTAATTTTGTCTGCCTAATCAGTTTTATCTGTTTACCCCATCTAATCTCATCAAACTTTGTATTTATCCCATGCTTATCATCAGAATAGCGCAGGTGATTACAAAATCAATCAAGTAGTTTAATCACTGATTTTTTTCCTTTCTATTCCCAAGTAAACATTTATGAAAAGGAGTCTGGGAGATGGGTAGGAGACTGTGATAAAAAAGTTGGCTTGAGGAAGGGCAGTTTTCATTCAGCTCTGAAAGTTACGTTTTGGTCTCCTAAGGAAAAGACTTTCTAAAATCGACATACTAGCCCATGAGAAAGCTCTTTCTCCAAACTGTATGTACTTTACTCTTGTGGCTGACAATTCAGTAACCTCTACAAATATTGATGGCCATGGACTTGAAAATATGGGACAAACAGGTGGCTTCTTTATACCCCAAAAGCCTGTGTATGCGTTTTTCCTGTGCAGATATTTTCCTCTGTGGGTTTCCATTTAGTACCATGTACTGGTTTTATTTTATGTTCTCGATGATCATCATCCACACTCTGATCTAGATCTCCAGTTAGAGTGCAGCTATTGGCTGGTCCCCAATATAGCAACACTCAAAGGTAAGTCAAGCCATGGAGTTTTGACTAGACCTGTGATATGGAAATACTGTGTTTGATTTTTATTTACCACCTCATTAATTTTTCCTGTTCCTGCTCCTTTAAAGTGAGGATCTTGGCAAGTTCCCAAAGTCTTTTCCTCTGCCATTGTGTGCAAAACTGAAATTAAAAATGACAAGCCAGGCACGCAGTTAGTGCTAGCTGCAGTCCCAAGCAAAGAGATGGGGAAAAGGGTCTGTGAGGGCAATTCATTGCTCATGCATGAAGGGGACGCAATGGCAGGTGGTTCTCTCATACATTTAAATACCCTCGAACATCAATAAGGAGACACGGTATTGGAAAAGAGCAAGGCCCCCAGCTACCCCGCAGCTCAGAGCTGCCATCCCAAATGGGTGCCTGAGGATCCCATATACAAAATAGGACCTGCCAGTTGTGCACCCCTTGCTACACAGCATCTTGCTGGCTATCAACCCATCAAGGAGTCTGTTCTTCACTGGCCAGGCCATTGGTCCTGTAGTGTCCCCAAAGCCTGATTTAGGAGGGTACAAGAAGCCACGCCGAAGGCATTTTCTTTTTTTGTTAAGGGAAAGATGCCAAGCCCTGAGCAACCTGATCTGACTTTGAAGTTGATCCTGCTCTGAGAGGGGGATTGGATGATTTGACATCCAAGGTCCCTTCCAACCCAGGTTATTCTAAGTTTCTGTGCTGGTGGAAACCACCTGGCTGGCCGGCCACCTTCGGTCTGGAGAGTTAGACAAGCAGTGAGATTTTTTCAGTGTGATTCATGCACAGTTTCTAAAATCTGTTAATTGGGAGGCACTTAAACTGGTTACCTAAAGGGAACCATTTGTCCAGTGCTACACAGGATACTGGGTTTTGGACTGCAAGTTACACTGTTCAATGTTTTTTTCCATTATCCCCATTTACTTCAAAAATGAGGGCCACTTTAGTGAAACTCAGCTTTGCTGGTGCACACACAACCTGTAGATGCGCAGATTTTTTCATTAGCTTTTTGTTCAGATTAGGGGGGCTTTTGAGGTCCACAAGAGCCTTGCGTCCTGCGGTGCCGTGTTTCTCGGTCTGTGCATGCGCAGTGTGCTCCTGCCAACGGAGGCGAAAGACGGGGGAGAGGAAGAGAGACTGTGTCTTCCTGGAAAGTACAGCCCAGCTGGGAGATCTAATTTTAGGTTCACAAGACCTGGCACCTTGGCAGTGTCTTTTCACATTGCTGATAATGCCGTTTTGGCACAGAGCAATCACCGTTTGAGGAATGCAGCTGGCGAGTTGAACTGGGGGGGGTTAGCATTTGTCACAGTTATCAGGGTAGCTGCACCACTGACCCCTTTTGGCTGGCCCCTTCGTGCCTACGCCTCTGTGGATAAAACCACATAATTACCCCCTTGTTAGTTCAGGGCCCAGCTCTGAAAGGTCACCCACACTCTTCTTCTATAATGTGTCACTGAGTATGGTGTATCTGTAATTCTTCCCTTCAACACCTTGTGACTAGAGCTACATATCTGACCACAAACAGCGTTCTGGCGGAAAAAGTAGTGTTTACTCTCCTGAGCAAGAGAAAGCAGAGCAAAATAAAGGGGGCTTTAAAATAACAAACAATCCCCTCATTTGCCTCTCTTGCAATGTTCAATTCTACTTCACCCCAAGCTCGTGAACCTTGGAGACCAGATTTGGTAGTCTCCATGGAAGTTTTTGATGCCTTCTGGCTTTGAAGGACCTCTGAAACACTTAGCTCGAGTTTTTCATCTGGGTTTGGGCTCCTTGCTGGAAAATGAAAGTCGTACCTCTCCCTCACTGACAGGCTGCTTAGCTGAACTCCACAAGATGTTAGAAAGGAAAATGTCAAATCGAAAGGCATCAAGTCAAAACGGGTTGTTTTTTTTGGAAGGATCACTACATATATGGATATTTAATGTCTTTGAAGCTATTGTCTCGTATGTGCTGTAGTACAGACAGCCCTTTCTATTCACACAGCAAGATGTTCTTCCAGCAGTAAAACAAACAGAGTATGCCTAGATATGCATTTTTGCAAAGATGCTCCTAATCTACTACACAAGCCTTAGCTTTGCTGTCCCTGGAGAGAGTTCAAAACTGAGTTTTAATTGTGGTGGTGAGGAGCTGAAGCTCTTCAAACCATAGGCAAACCATGAGACTGAAAGGTAGCTTCTCTTGGATTGCTGTTCAAAAGCAGCAAACACCATTTTTCCTGCCATTTTGAATGGGAGCTTCCTGCCCCTGGAGGTATTACGCAGTGGTTGTAGCTGTGTGTGTTTCTGAAGAGCCTCCTATATGCCAGCTCAGCACAAAGATCATCTCAGCAGCATCCCGTGGTTTGAGAAGTCTCTGCTGGGCTGCTCTGCTTCTGAGGCTACTGCAGCAGAAATTAGAGCTGGCCCTGTGCATACTGATTAATTTTACCTGCATCTGAAGGCTCTGTTTGCAGCTTTCTACGTAGTGTTTTCTCACACTTTGCGTGAATTTTAAAAGTTAGAGAAACTGCTCTGCGAGTATCTTTCACCCTTGGAAATGAAACTTGAAAAAAGATAGGTGCCCAGAGTACGTTCTTCCACAGTATGGTCACGAAAAGCTGCTTTTATGGCTTTGGCATGATTTGTTTGTCCTCTGGCAGCAGTCAAGGGTTTTAGTTCAGAGCACGGCCCTGTTGTACTTCTGCATAGCCCCTGACTTAAAGCCTTTGCAGCCTGCTAGCTTTAGCATATGATACATTGACCAAATTATGAATATGTAGAACATCGCTAAAGATGAGGCACAACAGGTTTCATTATTTGTTCTGAAAGGGGTCTTGAAAATGTCTAATAAATCCATCCACACTTTTAAAATCACTTTAAAAAATGCTGAACGCAATTCATTTGTAAGTGGTTTATATTTGCTGCCAGATTACTTCCAATGGGTAATTGGGAAGTAGTGTTTGCAATTGCAAAGCCTCAAAATTTGAGATCTAGCATCAATGCAGGTATGACACAACCCTCTTTGTGGCCCAGGAATTTATGTAGCACAATTTTCTCATTCATCTATAGTAATGATTTTTATAAAATTCAGCCTTTCCCCATACTTCCAATTCCTTTGACAGGCTGGAGAAAAGCACTAAACTGCACATGATCTCAACACAATCAGGGGAAGAAGACCTCTACATTCAAACCAAAACAGATCCTTTTTCAGTAGTTGTTTTTTGTTTAGCTGGCCTTTGCACTTATAAAGGTTGGGAGTATCAGGTATAAAAATGCCATATTTTGAGAGAATTCTAAACAGGAATGTAGATTCTGTACCTTTGGGTCAACTTTTTCAGCTCATCTACTATGTTGATAGGTGATGCAGAAAATTGCAAGGAAAAATGAGTGGATGAAGTTTATCTTCCTGTGAAAGCACAATGATCCTATGTAGATATGTGGGAATCTGTTAATGTACATTTTTACTTAACTGCACTTGAAGGGAAAAAAATAAAGGTAAAAAAAATAAGCAAAGAAGTCCTTCAACAGTTAGTTCTGCTTGTTGGTTTCAGGTTACCGCATGAGATTAGGATCTAGCACAGACAAAAAGGATTCAGGTCGCCTTCATGTTGATTTTGCTCAGGCAAGAGATGACTTTTATGAATGGGAATGCAAACAAAGAATGCTGGCCCGAGAAGAACGTCACAGACGCAAAATGGAAGAAGACAGACTGCGCCCTCCTTCTCCTCCAGCAATAATGCATTATTCTGAACACGAAGCTGCTTTGCTGGCTGAAAAATTGAAAGGTAAGCAGCATTTGATACTTTTCAGTGTATTATTCCTTAAGAGCAAGAGCCGTCCAGAAGTCAGAGCAGGGGAACGGCTTTCTCTCCGATGTATTTCATTACTTGCCCTGTTAGCTTTCTCCCATTCCTCTGCCATTTCTATGCCAGTGGTAATGATACTCACCCACCTGCTAAAAATGTATAACGTATGTCCATCTACCTGTGCTTTAACAGCTAAAACACAACCTTCAGAATACTACAGTGGGTTTTTTTTCTGTTCAGTTGCTGTCATCATCGGCCTTGGAAATGCTCTCATAATAAGACAACCTGTTACAAACATCCTTCCTATTAAAGGCCTGATTCTTAAAATGTCTTTATTCCTTGACTGATACGTTACTACATTACATGCATGTGACTGTCCCAGTTCCTAGCATTTAAATTGCCCTCGTGAGCTGCATTTTAACTTGTTCCTCAGGTGCAGTGGTACAACTCATCTCTGACACACACCATCCATTCCTTCATTCCCTCTTTAGGGTTAGAATTACTTGTGCAAGATAGCGTATTGTTTTGGTATGCATTTGCTTGCTTGTTTGTTTTTTTCTAGGTATACTTACCGAGTTAATATTTTTCAAGGGTGCAGCTTGAGGATTCCTGTCTTTAGTCGTTAACATAGAAAGTAAGAAGCAAAGAGATAGAATTATTCATGGTAAAGAAATTAACAAAAAGATCAAGCAAACAACTCCTCATACCCCTTAGAGGTGTATTTGTTTTCATTAAGAGTTTAGCAATTGTGTTTGGCATTCTTTCCCCACGTGGTGGCCAAGCACGTTACTTTACTGTGTGCCAGGTCACAAGAAACGCTGATTCTTGCCACTGTTTCAGAATTATCCAGATTAGACTTAGGCTATCTAGCTGTCAACAGACTGGTCTCTGTTCCAACTATGAAACATGTTTGGGAAGCCGGAGAAGGACAGTACAAAGTGTTGCATCCTTGGAGCATGGAGCAGAGATGCACCCTACTGTCTCTTTGAGTACTGCATTGGTCGCTGTTAGTTGTCACTGTTACCTCGGTCTGTTACTAGTTTGGCTGACTGATATTTTCACCACATACATCCTCTATTAAATAATTTATTAAGTAACTGGGAGATTGGTAAAATAACCCAGATGGATGATAGACCAGGAGAAAAGGAAGAAAGAGGCCCAAATATAAGAAGTTTTAATTCTTACCTAGCTTCCAGTCCAGCTCTTCTAGAGGTTACGCAATACAATACAGAGTTTTAGATCCATCTGTTCCCAGAATCTGTTTTCAATTGAATATTTTAGAAGTTAATCTTTTACAGGGAAGTTTTTCTTTATGTAGTAAGGCCTAGAGGTTTCCTGAACTAAGCCAGAAAATGCAAGAAGTCTGGACAAGTTCTTCCGCATAGCTAGCCATTGCCTGGGGCCACTGAATGTGGGTTTTTGCAAGATGTTTAAGATGTCTTTATTTAGAAGGGCTTTTCTTTTCATTCTGGGAAGTTTCCATACTTAATTAAAACTTATTCCAAGTACTTAGATCTTTGGTTCTCCTGAGGGGCATTTGACCAAAGCTTGGCATGTATGCACAAGTTTAATACAGAAATGTTTTGAGTATGGTATAGGCCAACACCGGGTACATGACTATTTCTCTGGAAATAAAGGTAAACTTTCAGAAACATACAGAATTAAATATAATAAATTAAGAAACCAAAATGGTAAGTTTATTTTTTATTGGTTAAAAAATCATTAAAATCCAGCAAAAGAACATGTTACAATTTTAAAAACTTCGCTGATTAGCAGTTGCCTTGTAGCTAGATTAATGGCATTGGCCCTGGATCTGTGTAGATTGTTGGGGATGGAGAATGCCAAGAAGCCCCCTCTCTGCTCACTGGTCATGAGTTGTCTCCTGTACTAGGTACTCTAGAAAGCAGAGGTGGGGTTCAGTCATTATACTGGTCTGCTTTACCTTTCCTATGGCGTCATAGCCAGTATCTATAAGGCAGTGGGGTGGAACATTATGGCCTCCCTCGGGCAACATGGTTTCACCACTGAGCCCTTTGTGACATCCTAAAAACAGAAGTAAAGCAACACTAAAAAAACTTCTTTAACTCTGGCAAAGGGCCAGAGTTTGTCATCATACATTCACAATTTAAATGTGGACTTCAGTGAAGCTAACAGAAGATATATATATGTACACACGCACTTACATGCACACACACATACACACATATAAAACTTGGGGTCAAAATCTGGATATCACCAGATTTGCATTGCTGCAAAAGCCTGGACATTTCATCCTAAGGAAAAGAAGGATCAAAATATATCTGCTTATGGCAGGGTTTACCTTGAAAGATTGTTTTTTGAGCAGATGCTTTGCAGTTGTTTTCGTAAGGAAAGTCATGACCTTCCCGTGGTACCCACTTCAGAAGACTCCTGAGCTCTGTTGCCAGCTCATGAGACAGAGCTGCAGGTGCCCAACGTGCAGGTTTCAGCTCCTGCGGTGCTTCCAGAACTTCACTGAGCAACGCTAGCTGAAAAGCAAATCAAAATAGCTAAACATCTGTCATCCCAAGATACTGCTTCGCAATCACAGATGTAGACAACTTGGTCTGAATCCAAGCAGCTTTTGTTGTCAAAATAACCTTGGAAATTCCTGACAGCAAGGAAATCTGACGGTGAGCCGAGATGAGCTAGTTGTGGTCTGTTGTGGTCTAGATATTTATTGAGTCTATAACAGAGGTGACAATATCTTTTTTCACCTTCTGCAAACTGCAGCATAAGACTTAAAGAAATCATTGGTTTTGTGCACCAGACTTGGCTGGAAACTCGCGACTCAGTATTGTCAGCATATTCCTATTCCTCTCATGTGCTGAAGTCACCTGGTACAGCAGTAACTGCCCTGGAGGCGAGTGGGTGAGAGAGCGTAGAGGATCTTCTATGCTGGTTGGAAACAAAAGTTCATTATAAAATTTCAGCCAGGTAATCTTTACTGATATGGAGCTTCATAGAAAAAAAGAACTGGTTTCTCAAAATGGACTGCCTGGTCACTGGGGCTGGTAACTAAGATACCTCCATTGCGTATGAGGTCTTGCATACGTGCAAAAGCATGAGAGGTTATGACTTCTTCTCCATTCCCTGCTCTCTGTGGACTATCCCAAATCCCTTCATATCTGAAAAGAACTTGGTTTGAACACTTGATGGGAAAACCCATCAAACTGTGGACCAGTGCAGTTCTTCACCACTTCCCATTTTAGGCTGTGTCAGACAGTGCTATTTAAGGGGTATCTTTTTCTTTTTTTCTTTTTCTTTTTCTTTTTCCTTTTTTTCCTCTACTAAGGTTTTCAGGGTCATGCAAATGAAATCCTTCATAACTTTTTCCTTGTTGGCAGTGTGGACATTTTTCTTCACCTTTCATGTTGTTAGCCAAGAGTGTATGTGCTTTCCTTTTCTCTAAGTGCCTGTGATGTTGTTCCTCTCCCTGTCCACCTATCGTGTTTTGCTGTTGCCACTTTTCATTATGTGGCAGCGACATATTGCCAGTACCTTGGGTGTAGGTGTCATGGATTTGAGCCTGTAGCTCTAAAAATATAGGCCTACGCTACTAGCCCTTGTTGATTAAACATTTTTTGAGCTGGTCTGCATTGATAATTTGCTAGCGATGGTCTTTGCTGGTCACAGCCAGAGCCAAAAGAGGGAGAAACCAAGGAGATGATCATTCATAAAAGAGGAGATTTACTGCATTGGAAAGATGACGTCACAAAATATTTGATTTTAGTTTGTTTCATGCACTTCCATATCATGTTCACAAGCCTTCTTCATGACTCCACGACAAAGAAGGCAGAAGAGAACTGAGCCTGGATTATCACAGTGAAATGAGCTCCAGCATTCAAACTAGATGGGTAACATGGGGAAGAACATGAGCTCCTTCTCATACCAGAGCTATGCTAATCAGTTTTAGGTTTGTACCACACATTTTAGGTTTGCAAGCTAGTTGGGAAAATAAAACCACTACTTAATTTTGCATGACATTTTTTTGGGGGGTGTTTTTTGACCTTCTAAACAACTAAAGTAGATTTGAAGGGAAAAAGCAAAATTAAAAAAAGGCGCCATTTGTTTAAAATGGTAAAGTAAAATTTCACTTTTTCAAAAGGTACTCTTCAAATCTACTTTTTGATCCAAATATTCCAGAATTTGTCATGACATTGCAAATAGTTTCATCAAACCATTCTCTGATTGCCATGGAATAAGATAACAGCTAAGTGTAACTCACGTTAATGAAACTTCTGCCCTCCTTTCAGACATCCTCCCGCCTTAGGGAAAAATCTGCGTTTCCTTGAGGAAATACCTCAAGAAATTCATAGATGTGAATTCTGGGAAACCAAGGTCTTTTATAGTGAAGTGTAAATGTGAACTGCCTCCTTAAAAAGCTTTTGGGAATAGATCCTGAGTTCTTGTTCTGACAAAATCAGCAGAATATCATGTCTTCTGCTATTACATTATAAAAACGTGACTTTCTTGTCTCCTGGTTCATTGCAGCATTTTGTTTGGTGCTTGTCTTTGAGATTTTAATTCCTCAGTATTAAATCAGATGCGTTATTACTGCACAGTGAGATGTGTCGGTAGATATTTAGGATCAAATTTGCATACTCTGACATCTGTTTTCCTGGGTGCTTTATAAACGGTTGAGTAATGTGGTGCCCAGAACATCACACAACTGGAGACGGGCTGAACCTTTTATCCTTAAGTGGAATGCTGCTCTGTCAGGTGCACTGGAACAAAACATTTTAATCTGTGTGCTTATGACATTTATGTTTCAAAGCAGAATTGCAAACATTATGGTATTCTTAATTCAAGCATATCTGTACCTAATGGTATCATCTTCAGCAATCACTTCTTGCAAATAAGCTCCTTTAAAATACTACATCTGTCTTATTTGCTGCAGGTAGTTAAATAGTTCCACCATCTAACAAAGACATCTCCTTATATCTGATTATCTGTTTTTT